CTTGGGGACTTGTGGGACTAACCAACATTGTGATGAACTGCAATCTCAACACACCGGCAGCTGCAGTGACAGGGATATTCAGGTACACCATACCAGGATGTGCAAACAATTTAGTGATGAACTGCAATCTCAACACACTGGCAGCTGCAGTGACAGGGATATTCAGGTACACCACAGCGTGATGTGCAAACAATTTAGTGGTGAACAACTTCGTCCCGTACCAGTTCTTTGTTCCATTTACGCACATAGAACAACAAATTCTTCTTCAACAGTAAATACAAATGATTGGAAAAGAAAGGCAAATATTGGACATATTGTCATTGGTTTTGGTTCTGGTATTGTTACTTATTTTTAATGAAATTATTGTCCTGAAGATGCTATTTGTACAAATTAGTTCGTTTTTCAACTGTACGAGAATGCCATTGTTCACAGCAACTGGAATAGCTGGTCTATATTTCAGTTTCACCATGTTATATTTTTGTTATTTTTCCGTTGAAAACAACATCAATAAACTGGTGAGAAGCCTTTGGGAACTCATTATCATTCACAAATATTAAAAATCATAAATGAAAATCCGCGAATTCTATACTTAAAAAACAGTCCTTAATTTAAAAAAATCCTTGATCCATGTCGCAACAGGTGGAGCCGGAGAGCGAGATGGACCCCGACTTGATCCCTCTGAAGCAGGGCGTGTGCTCCTCGGGCTGGGACTCGTCCAGCCTTCAGCTGCTCGGCCCGAGCTCCAAGCCCGGTCTCAGTGCCGGTCCCGCCGGTCCCAACCATCAGCCCGAGTGTCGGGCCGCCACTCTGTTGCCGCCAGACCGATACGCGTATTCTTGCACCACCAATATTGTGAGTTTCAATGATTTTTGTCTAAAATAAACGGTTTAATAATTATACATGTTATTATGGGCAAAGAAAGAATTTGAACTCAGTTCACCCGATGAAAAAATGTTAAAAAAATAGAATATATTAATTTCATGTACGAATATTTCACCCAATTTACTTCTAATAGTTTTTTTATTCACCAAAATTGGAAAATTTTTGCGTTAAAAAATTACCATAGTTTTTGATATGAGTTTAAGATCTTGATACGACTTTAACTTCTAATTTAACCTACAATTACAAGCCTAGCATTATGCATTATACACCTTTATGCTACATTGCAGGTTTTAGCCTCATACAGTATTATTTTTTTTACTCCTCTATGAGCATTTTGAAACCATCGCTCTTGATTCAAATAGTTTCTGGATTAGAGCAAATTTTAAATACGATTTCATTCCTTTTGCTAGGACTAGAATGAATTAATTCATAAATTTATATGGTTTATGTTCATTTTAAATTAAGTCTCTGAATACTAGAATATCAGTAATCCAAAAGTAATAGAGTAATCCGCAGATATATCCCGTTAAATCATTTCCTTAACAGTTTGATTAATCTAAGCATTCGTTTTTTGCTTCACACAGAATCGTTCAATGCAACAGGCATCTGATATTGGTCATCTGCATCGCCATCAGCATCAACAACATCAGCTGCATCAACAGCAACATCAACCACAAAATCAGCAACATCAATATCAGCAACTGCACCAACAGCAGCGACCACCAATGCCCAGCGAGTCTAACGCCCCAATAACACTTACAGGAATACGAAACCAACAGCCACAGTTACGGCAGTCATCGTGCGACAACAGGTTGTTCAGAGGTCATATTACCGATGCAAATTACCAGAAATCCTCAACTGCTGGCCCCGCATCTCACCTAATTCCTTCATCCACATCCTCATCCCCCATACCAAGCCCCCAGTGCGCACAACATTCCCCTGGTATTGGACCTACATTACAAAATGATCTTTATTGTTCATCTACTTTACCTCGACCAGGATCCAGCCAAGCGGGCAAGTTTCAACAACAGACGTATCGCTCACCAATTAATAGTGCAATGAATAAACCCCAGGACTATTGTCATCATCAAGCTGGTCAAAAACAACAAATTACCTCAGAACAAACATGCGAAAGTTTTGACTTCCAGAGAGGCAGAAACGATCCGGAAATTTCTCAAAGGATCAACGCCCGACATCAGGCAAGTACCAATTAGCAATCATCAATAAATTATTCGTTTCCTACTAAATGGCGAATAAGCTCTACCATCAATTCATAATCAATGACGAGCTCTATTGTGAAAGTATTATGGAATATCTTCAATACGGAATATCAGAATGAAATAATTTAATAAATGCTGAATATGCTTCAGCAGAGAGATTCTTTTATTCTGATTATAAAAGCAAGTTAATATTAAGTCTTAATTCCTAATACATTCGTTTCCAGGCAATAAAAATTCATTACTGCGATCAAATTTCTAAGTCATCGCCTACTTGATATTCATTAGTGAAACTAAACAAAATAGGTAATCGATCATTAAATTCAAGTCAAAAATTATTGTTATAAAATAAATCAGTTAACTGGATAATTTTTAGGGAAATTTTTCACTACTCAGTAATAAAAGTTTGTTTGTGTTTCTCCCAACAATAGAGCGTCGGGATAAAGGTTTATATGCATTGACTGCAATGGCGAATCCTACATCAAAATGAACAATTCTACTCAACTTGTGTTGAGTTAAATTGTATACCAATTGTTGAATAATTGTATACCATATCACTACTCAACTCTCAGGCGTATTCCACGCACTTAAACCACCAGTGGCCGCCTACACGTCACACCAAAACTTAGACGTGCCGGAAACGCACACGATACTTGCCACACGACAGGAAAACCATTCAATAGCCATGAGACCCATTTGCTAATTGGATAGTGCATTCACTTACTGAGTACGTAGTATACATTCGTACGATTGTGTATGAATGGATCTTGAGATTAACAGACTTAGAGTTTATATATTGGTAAATGTGCTTAAGTGATATCGAGGTACCAATTAGTAATGGCAGTTGATCGCTCTAAATCCAGTACAAGAGATGACGTAGTTATTCTCAATCACGTGCCTCTATATATCATATAGTGCTGCTATATTAACCTTAGCCCATATTCCTAATTTCAGTGGACATGTATTACGACTAGACCCCGAACACGGCTATTTATGAAAATTTTTGTTTATGAACCTACACAACACAACGACTGCACCCCGAACTCAGTAATAATAAACATTTTTAACTAAGGATCTACATGGCATTACGACTGCACCCCGAACACTGCTATTTATGCATCTTTGTTTGCTTAGAACAAACATTGTATAATGGCTGCCACCGGAAACAGCTATTAATTAACGTTTGTTGGTCATTCTTTATAGACATATTTTTCGATTCGCGCACAGTTGCCAACTACGCTGTATAGTCGCTGGCACACCGACCTGAATTACTGGCGAGTGATATGCGACTCTTACTCAATATGAAATTACTCGATTTAGTACCCAAAAAGACGTTTCCTTGCCTAATTCTCCTCCATTTGCTGACACCAGGCTAGTCGTTACAACGACTGGCGTGGCGGGCAACAGTCGCAGTCTCAGCTGCAGATGAGACTGAGTCAACAGGATCTGTTGCACAACTTACCTGACCCGCCGCCGCCGTTCAGAGAAGATTACATGTGCCAATCAAGCAGCCATGAGGAGGCATCACCTGTTGCTAATTCTTGTCACCATAGAAAAACAGATAACAAGGAAAGCTCTGTGTGATTCTGTTACTCGGTAGGGTGATAGCATATGTATTTTTGCAGAGAGGCTGAGCTCACTGATATCACAGATAAGGTCATTCACGTTCCCGTTTGTTTTGCTTGTACTGAATGTAATATTTGTTCTTTTGACCTCTAGTCTACTTAATGAAAAGTACTTTTTTCGTGTAAAATTATAAGCGTCGAATTGTTATAATTTATTGTTCTTTATACAACAATGATGGTTTCCTGCATAATTGTTTACGTATTTGAGATTAGCTTTTCATGACGCGGATGACTCTATTCTATTCCGTCTCATCTCGCACTGACTGAACATATAACAGACGAGTGCGAATTGCAAAAATGTAAGAAAATTTAAATATTCATTTTTTAAATTTAATTTTGAGTTGCATTGAAAGGTAGAATGTAGCTATAAACTTTATATGAAAATTTTTCGGAAAATGACGAGGTAAAATGTTTCAGAAATTACTGTTCTATATTATTGTTTGTATGTTTCATTCAAATTTAATTTCAATGGCGAGTCTTAGCTGCTCCTTTTGTCTTTAAATAGGCTTAGGTATAAAATAAATAAATAAAAGTATCTATCCCTTATCAAATTATATATATCAATATACGTATATTATCCCATCGAAATAAATAAATGATTATTATAGCACAAATGTATTCCATTGATGTTTAATCGTGAATCTATAAATATTTTATACACATTTTTATTTACATGCTAGAATCGTGCAATGGGGACTGAAACTGAAGGAAAATCTGTGTTCATCACTAATACAATAAATGTAATTAATAAGCGACATAAGGTTAGTGCCATAACACAAAATTAATAATTGTACACAATTTACGAGTTAACGTACATTGTCTTGGTTGATTGCAATTGGAAATACCTCAACACAACATGAACAATTTACCCAACTTGTGAGTTAACGTAGATTCTATTGGAATATTGCAATGTTTAATTCCGTATCGATGCATCAAAAATTATACCTTGATTATATATTATATTATAAAGTTGTAGTATTATTATTATACTGTAGTTTTATCATCAGTAATTATACTATTATTTGATGCCAGTTAATAAATCAACTTGTGAGTATTGTTTGATTGCCCTGTGGTGGATAATTCACTATTCAGCGGTTGATGTTTACGAGGAGACAACGATTGATTAATTGAAGACGAGGAAGACTGGTTCAGAAAATGCACTTTTTGCCCATGTGTCATGACTCAGTTTGGCCGGACAATAGGACGTGTCTCTGTGTTACGTCGGTTCTCTGCTCGTGTTGCGTAAGAAATTTAAATGTGTCACTAATAGGACAATTTGCCCTGAGTGATTTGTCTTTCAAAATTACTTAACTGAAAGAGTTTCTTACAGTCCGCGATTTCTTACGAGGAACAGTTGTATTATTTAATCTTAATTTAATACAAAAAATAATGTCGTGCTAAATAAAAATACGAAAAAATTCCGTAAAATGTTATTAAATATTGAAATCAAAGTATATATTAATGGTAATTATTCTTAAGTCGGATTGGACAGAGAATTTAGCACCGATTTGTCCCAAAATATGAAAAAATTGAATAAAAAATAAAATATTGAATTAGATAATTGAATATAATTCAAGTCCCTATTGGCAGCCAGAAATGACTTCGTATCTACTACTGGCAAGTGTTACGGAGCCATGTTCTGTAAGTTGAAAACTAAAAAATTTACAGAAATTTCAGTTCATAAATTATTGGTTGGCCCAAATGTTGGATAATTACTTTGGAATTATAAATAATTTATGACCTAATTGACAAATTAAAATTATGAATAATGAATGTCTAAAGGGAACATGTAAATGTTAATCTCTCGATGACTTAGAGATCTTTGGACTTGCCGTTGATGATGTTAATTTCCCTAAGGTAGTGCTTGTGTTACACTCAAAATAATAAGTGAGATTTTACACTGATATTGAAGCTTTTCTTTGCCCACGCGTGGGCCATCTATATTCTGTTTGGCTTGAGATAAGGGCGTATTAATGATACGTGCATAAAGAGTGTCACTTTTTGGACAGCAAGTCCTTATTAATTTATTACCGATTGTAAATTATTAAATTGGTGATCACACACGAGTTAATAATGACCAAGAAAAATTCTAACGTGGGACTCTGTTAAGTTTTTATTCTCATCAAAATCACAGTAATTGTACATATGTAGTTATTGCCCCTCCATGACAATAATGCTCAATATAATGAACTAAAACCTAATGCGGGAAAATGTCGGATATTAAAATTAAAGAAATATTCTCAAATCATAAAATTATACAATCTTCGATTCATTGAAAGATCCACTGTCTTGTATCTATATATCAACAAGAGAATATTTTTGAGGATTATATTCATTTAGTTATGAAATTGTAAGTCAATCATTCTTAATTTTTAATATTTCCCTTCAATTAATATGATAGGTGAAAGTGGATGTGACTATTCGTGGACTGATAATTTATCAATATTTGCTGTCCGACAGTGAATATTTTTGTAAAGTTGAATATATTAGTGGACTCCCTAAAAGGCTTGTTATTTTCCCCTGCATTTATTTATTAAATACGGAATTTATTTTAAATAGTATTTCAACACCTAATAGGAGTTTTGAACGAAGTAATTGGAACAAATTAAGTTTAGGCAGCCACGGTTACCATCCGCAGCCCCACGCTGTTTAAACGGTTACCATCCGCAGCCCCACGCTGTGTAAACGGTTACCATCCGCAGCCCCACGCTGTTTAAACGGTTACCATCCACAGCCCCACGCTGTTTAAACGGTTACCA